GAAAATCTTGTACTACCTCTGTGCGTATATATTGCGTTCATTTTGGGTTTTTCAAGAAAACATTGTACTATATACGGGGTTCATTTTGGGGTTTTCAAGAAAATCTTGTCCTACCTCTGTGTCGGATATATCGTGTTCATTTTGGGTTTTTCAAGAAAATCTTGTTCTACCTCTGTGTCGGATATATTGGGCTCATTTCATTTTTCCAAGAAATCTTGTCCCCGACTCTACAACTGTGTGGGATATACTGGGTCGGTTTGGTTTTTTCAAGAAAATCTTGCATCAACGAGCAATAGCTTCACAAATTCATCTCTGAATTTGCACATTTTTTCAGGTTAGCTTACATGGAGGCCAGGTGATTTCATGGCGAAATGAAAGAGGCGAAGAACTTTTGTTTACGAGTAGCAAGGTGTGGCCTTTTCCGTTCATAAATTTTGCAAGATTTCGGTCGGATATTTACATCTATTTACATACCAAATAGCTCATTGATTCAAAGATTGAATGCGGCAAAGCATTTGCTTTCTAAATTCCTTTTTCAAGTACGGTTTTTGGAGTTTCGGCCTTAAATTTTCTGAAACTGATGCTTGTTTGTTGGTATTTGACGATTTTAGGCGATCTTTAAGCCCCCGAAGGCAATGCGAGGAGGTATTCCGATTTGTTTTCCTCAGGTACGTTTACGATTCCTGTGAATATAGGAGTGCATTAGCTTATGATCAAAGTTCGCTTATGCGTTTACCTGTACCCTCTTGAACGTAGTTCGGTAACTGCGGTTCACTCGAGCAACACGGGTTTGCAAGAAACAAAATTTGGGTGGTTGAAGACGATCCTCCGCCACTTCCCGCCAACGATTCTCACGGGAAATCTTTTGTCGACTTGCTACTGAAACCATCGGAAGAAGACCTCAAGTTTTGGCCACACAGGTTCTACTTTAGACCGTCGATTGTTAACGATTTTATCAACCGTTCGATCCTGATCGAAAATCCCTTTTTTGCAGCTTCGAGTTTCGTCTTAGAGTCAGCCTTGGGATGGATGGGAATTTGACGTTGACATCCCGAATTAGGAATGTTAATGGGAAGCCGTTCAGTTTCTCGTTTGCTTATCACTCGTATCTCTCGGTTTCCGACATAAGGTATGCTTGTTACTTGGTATTTTAGGTTTTTAGTTTCCGACGTGCGTTTACCTGCTTATAAATCCATTTTGTGATTTATAGTGAAGTGAGGATCGAAGGGCTAGAAACGATGGACTACTTCGACAACCTTTTTAAACGAGAACGGTTTACAGAACAAGGAGACGCAATCACTTTTGAATCCGAGGTAAATCCTTATCGTTCTCGAGCTTTTGTGATATAGCCAAAATAGGAGTTGACTGTTGACCCGTCACAAAATGACCAACTTTTTGCAAATTAATATAAAATAAGCACCTATTTCGTAAAAAAACACGAGCAAAACCCTTTTTTTTCCAGAATTTTGGGTTTTGCTCGTGGTTTTTGTGAAGTGGGCCCACAAACCGAATAATGTGGGCCCATAAACCGGATAAAAAAAATATATTTCGCAAGAAAAGTGGTTTTTGCTCTGTTGTTTTCTGAAGTGGGCCCACGAACCGAATAACATGCGCCAAAAAAGTGTATTTCGCAAAAGAAAGGGTTTTTACGAGATCGGTGGTTAATTTATGCTACTTTGGAAAAAATGGTCGTTTTGTGACGGGTCAACTCCAATTTTGGTTATTTTTGTGATAATTTCTTTTTGGAAAGCTACTTCAGGTAGCGTTTCAATAAGCTGCAGAAGTTTTTTTTTTATTTTATTTTCCAATTATGCCCTTTATATATTTTCACGATTAATTTTTCAACGTGTCCTTTTAGGTCATTTTACATTGTCATCAAATTTTGTGGTTTTCTTGGTGCATTGATTGTTTCAGATAGATCGTGTTTATCTTAGTTCTCCAAATTGCGTTGCTGTACTTGATCACGAGAGGAAGCGTACGTACGTGTTAAGAAAGGAAGGGCTACCGGATGTCGGTAAGCCGTCTCATAATTTATCGACTTCTTCTAATTGTTACGTACTTCACGTGGCTTTTGACTTTTTCGGGTCAAACCGACTAATTTACAAATCAAAATTGATACGAATTCTACGTCTTTATAACCGGAATTTTTCGTCTAACCGCCGATATTATATCACGTTAACATCGTTATCGGGCTTTTCTTAGATAGCTAAAGAGGCGATGTCGGTTTTGAATTCGAAACTTTGTTCCCGTTGACCTATAAAGTCAAATCGCATGATTTGAGAAAAAGCGTTTTGATGACGTGTATGTCGAGTTTATCGTCCACTTCCTCATAAACCTTTCGTAAATGGGTATTCACGTCACCAAATGTTACAAGATGAACAGGTTACCGGTTAAAATGAGTATAAATTACATCGATGATAGGAACCAAACCAAACTTTGTTGCATTTTGATATGCAAAATTTTGACAAATTTTTTCTTGTGATTTCTGCAAATTAAGTGGTGTGGAATCCGTGGGACAAGAAATCGAAAGCAATGGCGGATTTGGGAGATGATGAATATAAGCAGATGCTATGTGTCGATGGTGCGGCGATCGAGAAGCCGATCACGTTGAAACCGGGAGAGGAATGGACGGGTCGGTTGGAGATTGCAGTCGTGCCCTCAAGTTTTTGTAGCGAGGATCTCTGATTTTCAATTGAGGTGCCTCCGATCTTTCGAGTTTGGTCTTTTCGTTTGCATATGCAATTAGAGGTTTAGGTGTCGTTTTTTTAGCGTTTTTTGGATGAACGACTGGCTAAATATCCTATGTTTTTTTCGTTTGAGGATATATCTCGCATACTAAAACCGCACCAAAATGCTATCTTGAAACGTCGTGTTCTTGAAATGTTAGTGTTGTCTAAACTGTGAAAGATAACGAGTTCTACGAGTCTTCATCTGTAGAAATCCAATGGATTTGATTCAGTAATAGGAATTGGATTTTGGTATATGATCCAATCTAAATTGACATCGGACAACCGATCCAGTCCAATTTGATGGATAATCAGATCAGATCGGTTGCATCTGCTCGATATTAATAATGTTACCCGTTGGATCAGATTAGATTCATTCGATATTTTGATCTCAACTTTTAATCAATTAATCCACTGTTTTCATCTAATTATTCATATATTTTTTCTAATTTCTTAAGAGTAAAACATGGTGTGTCTGATTGGTTTGAGCTTGGCTCCAAATATCGAAAGTACCTGGAGGTCCCAAGTTCAAATCCAAGAAGGAATAAAAATCTCCTTGTGGCCACGGAGGATCAAATGCGGTGACTTCGGGCTATCTGCAAAGTAGGTGGTCGTCCTGGGATTAGTCGGCTCGCATAGCGGGTTGGATATCCAAGTTAATAAAAAAAAACATACATATATAAAAAATGGTATATATATACCGGAAGTAGAGATGGCCAAAAACCGGTCCCGGGCCGGTCCCGGGCCGGTCCCAATCGGTCCTCACATTTCTCATAACCGGCCATAACCGGTCCCGGCGTAACCGGTCCCGGTCTCGGTCCCGGTCCCGGTCGAAAATAATAGGACCGGTATAGGTACTCTATAACCGGTTATGGGCCGCCGGTCCCGGTCCCGGTCCTAACCGGTCCCAATCGGTCCTTCATTAAAAAAATAAGATTTTTTTTTTGATTTTTTTAATGATATATATTTTTAATACATTATAAAATTTACAATTGGGTCACTCAAATACAC